CCAAGGACTACTGAGCACGTTCTCTTCACAACTGAAAGTCTTGTTCACCATTGTATCCCCAGGGCCTGACACAGTGCCAGGCACACCTTTTACAAGCATCAGCAAGTGCTTTTTAAGTGAAGGATTGATGAAGGAACAACTAACGTTTCCATTCTTGCTTCAACCTGTGACTCTTGCTGAGCCAATCCTAAATTATCTTATTCTGAAGACATGGCTCTGAAACTTGTTCCCTGGTCTAAGATGATAGAACTGAGTAGAAGAGAAATATAATGCCCCACCCCAGCATCCCAAGAATCAATTGCTAAAAAGTCTGATTCATTAAATGGTACTCAAGATCTTCTGACAACTGTCCAATTACTAAAGACCTTTTCTAAAATATATTTCACATCACATTTCAATACATTATTTTGGTTGTATCACTAAAATCCTGGCTTAAACTCTATTGAATAAAACAATAACATACCCATTTGTCATATTCTTTTGTTGCTCACCCAATAGAAACTAAAGTTAGCTGCCCAATTTTGATATACTAACTGCCAGTGATACTATGGAATGTATATTTATGCTGGCACCCAGTGGGCAATTTTTTAAGCATAAAATTGTCCCATTACATTTCATTTTAAAATAAGAAAATTAGTTCCTGCTTTATTTTCAAGGCCCTTGTTCACTCACTGTATTAAAGCCAAAACACTTCACTGCTTGGGTATTTAAATGGCATACACCAAATGTCACTTACCCATATGGCGCCTGGGCTCACATTTCAATGACCTAATGCAGTTTGTAATACTAGTTTCTTAAAAGCTCCATAACACTTTGCCTTTAATTATAGGTGTGATATTATCCAAAGTTATACTACTAAGAAATCTCTCACTCAACCCAAACTTTATAGAACACTGTTGGCAGCAGTCCGCCTCATGAAGGATGTGGGGTGCCTAGAAATGAATTAGAATGGTCTGCAAATCGCCCTGGAGCTTAGGAATATAGCAGGTAGAGCACACAGCTGTGGTAACGGGAAGTGTTAGAACTGATCTTAGGAGTTCCTCCTTCCCACACTCATTTTATTATTAATGATCCTGGGATCATGGGTTTAGTAGGTGTTTTTAAAAGATTGTGTAATTCACCTGTGAATGACAACTGAGTTACACTGAGTTACATTCTCTTATGAAGTTCACCACATTTCTCCTATTGCCTTGCATAACTTTCTTCTATATGGGTATTTGCCCTCCCAATTAATGTATTTAAATTCAATTGATATGCAGTCCTGATCCCATTTTCTTTTCTGTCTTCCATCATTATCTGCTCCCGATGACAGGAAAATCATCAAAGAATGCAACTGGACATGACATTAAGCTCCCTGAGGGCCAGAACCCTGTCCACCACTCCATCCCTAGGAGTAGGTACTGAATCTAGCACACCAGAGCTACGCACTGAATAAGTATTCATAAGTGCATGAATGAATGAACAGGAAACAAAAGAACCGATGCTATGGGCCATGACAGAAAAAGAAAAAATAGGCTAGAATGTGATTCTGAAAGAAAAGACCTTGGAAGGAGACTGCATGATGTTTTGGAGGAACAGCTTCCTTACCTATAAGTCGAAGACATGCCTGAATTTGCTGTAGGAGCAACTAAAATAATGTAAGTGCAAGCTCCATAAAAATGGTAAAGCACTGGGGCGCCTGGGTGGCTCAGTCGGTTAAGCGGCTGCCTTCGGCTCAGGTCATGATCCTGGGGTCCTGGGATCAAGCCCCGCGTCAGGCTCCCTGCTCAGCAGAGAGCCTGCTTCTCCCTCTCTGCCTGCCTCTCTGCTTACTTGTGCTCTCTATCTCTCTGTCAAATAAAATAAAATCTTTAAAAAAGAAAATGGTAAAGCACTACTCAGAGACAGTATCTTGAATATGATGACAATGGATTATGAAGAAAATTAACTAAAGCTGGCAGTTAAGCTACAGCATAAAATTGTAACAGTCACAGGGTCAACCCCAGAGAAGGGGTGCGGTCCAGACTTACGGAATGAATTCGTGGCCCTGGTTCAGACCTTACAGAATGGAGATGGGAAAAGGCTATTGCTGAACTTGGGGATCTGGAAAGAAAGCATCTCATTGCAAAGAACCTGCAGATATAGAAGCACTCTTTTTCTTGATTTTATTATTAGATGTTAAGCCAATAATATAGAATTGACATTTACCAGTTTACAAAGTAGGAGCTTTTCATACTTCAAAGTTACTAAGGTTAAGGTGCATGCCCAGATGAGATGAGTCTAGGTCAGCCTGCTTTGCTTTTGCGGATGCTTTCCAAAAATTATTCGAGACACTTCACCATTATTCCCTATGTGGTTACAGTTCAAATCAGAGACTTGAGAGATGACAACTGACCAGACAGGGTACAGAGCAAATAAACTGAGCAACTGAGCTATGTGTGAACATTTTCCAAATCAGGGCATGTGTTCCCCCATCCAACTCCTAAAAATGAATTATCATTGCTTAGATTTTAGAAAATGTTTTTTAACATAGAACACAAAGTAATAGTTGCATGGGTTCAACGTACACCAACTTTTCCAGAGATGTGCTTACTATGTAAATCAAGGCATGACTAAGATTTTGTTCAAAACTTTATCAGGAATTGTCCATCATTTCAGAATATCATATCCAACACTGTTTGTGATATTGCCAATACAATGCACATTGGCCTGCATTTGTAGCTCATGACTACCTACAGGTGTAAGCATCTGACGACTTGATCTTATCATCTAGGATGGCAATACCGAAGCCTTCTTACTGAAATACATGTTATTAAAAACTGTTTTTCCTTTTTTCTGCTTTGTATTAAAGTTAGGATACTATACTCATTGTTTAAAAGTATGTATGCATTTGGGTCTTATGACATTGAATTTTATGTCACAAGAATCAGAATATTTGTCATAAAGGGGCACTAAATCTGGGAGGGTTGAGAGAACAACTAATCTCCTCAACCTATGCACTCTAAAATAAAACTGAGACTCAGAGAGGTGGAGTAACTTTTGCTCTAGGCCACAAAGCAAACTGATGACCAAGTCAGAACTGGAACTACCTAAACACTGAGTCCTCCTTCCAGCAGCTGTGTTGCCTCAATGTGATGACTATGTAAAAATACACAGGGGTAGAAAAATCAACCTCACACTTCAGAATGAAGTTGGTGACCATTAGACCCAAGGGACAGGGATGGAGGAGGTCTCTCCTCGTGTCTAGCTACCAGCACAAGGGATAAGATGGTTTATTTTTTTTTATTTTATTTTATTATGTTATGTTAGTCACCATACAATACATCATTAGTTTTTGATGTAGTGATCCACGATTCATTGTTTGCATATAACACCCAGTGCTCCATGCAGTACGTGCCCTCCTTAATACCCATCACCGGGCTAACCCACCCTCCCACCCCCTCCCCTCTAGAACCCTCATTTTGTTTCTCAGAGTCCACAGTCTCTCATGGTTCGTCTCTCACTCCGATTCCCCCCCTTCATTTTTCCCTTCCTTCTCCTAATGACCTCCCTGCTATTCCTTATGTTCCACAAATAAGTGAAACCATACGATAATTGACTTTCTCTGCTTGACTTATTTCACTTAGCATAATCTCCTCCAGTCCCATCCATGTTGATGTAAAAGTTGGGTATTCATCCTTTCTGATGGCTGAGTAATATTCCATTGTAGATATGGACCACATCTTCTTTATCCATTCATCTGCTGAAGAGCATCTCGGCAAACTCTTTCCACAGTTTGGCTATTACGGACATTGCTGCTATGAACATTGGGGTGCATATGGCCCTTCTTTTCACTACATCTGTGTCTTTGGGGTAAATACCCTGTAGTGCAATTGCGAGTTGGTACAACCACTTTGGAAAACACTGTGGAGGTGTCTCAAAAAAAAAAAAAATAGAGCTACCCAATGACCCAGCAATTGCACTACTGGGATAAGATGGTTTAGAGAAGTTTTTGCTTTGGGTTTGTTTGGTTGGTTGGTTTTTTGTTTTTTGGTTTTTTTTTTTCACCTACAAGGCACTAGGTGCTAGTTTGGGCACTGAGTGCAGACAAAGCCGTGGCCAATTCAGAGTTTCTCTCCAAAAGGCACACAGAGAGAGCAGTCATTTGTAAGGCTTGTGTTTAAGACCATATTAAAGTGGTGAGGGGGAGGGGGGGAACAGACAAAACATTACCTATCTTGGGAAAGATACATTCCATTATTACGTTGAACTTGAACTTTTTCAACAGTCCTTCACAGTCAAGAAATCAAGGTATTTTCACTCAATTTAAAATCAATAAATGGTACCCCTAATTTTAAGCCCCACATTTAGGTATTTTTAGTCAGATGCAGTTCTTAGGAGGTCTGAGTTTGCAAACAACTAGGTGGAATAGATAAAGCACATGTCCAGGTTGCTTCTATATGTAACATGTACATTAAAACTGTATGAAACATCCCCACAAGATAAACACAAGGTAATTACCATTTCTCTCAAAGCTGGCTTCTAGCCAAATCACTTCTGTGCATTTATGAAGCAAGAACATTCTGTCAGGTAAGTAGCTTTGGCATTGGTACCCAACTAAACCAAACAGGGCATTCTCAAAGCAGGAAAAGAGAAGCAAGCCAGTGAACTCTATTCTCTGAAATCAACACCAACTACGTGTAGCCTGAAGTACTGCTACCAGGACAAGTTCCCCCGCCTGGGATTAGGGCTGTCTTCCAAACAAGAAAATTATAACACTCAATATTGTATTCAAGCTTTAAGCTAATACCAGCAATTATAATATTTATGATCCATCTGTAAGCTAAACTGACTCTGTCTTTTGAACTCCACGTGGTAAAGATTTTCCACTTAAGTTTCTACAGTTGCCATAAAAGAGCCTAGTATTTGAGGATGAAAACCCTGAGGGACTTTGCTTCAAATGAATATGATCCTAAACACCTATACAGTTGTTTTTAACAAAGTAATGGAATTTGTATCTATAAAATAAAATGCAATATATCTGAGGTTACAAACACGCTAAGCCAAAACATTTAACTCTCCAGGTGGAGTGATACACAGAATTGCGTTTTCACATTATCTTAAGTGAGTTCTGAGGCAAGCACAGGAGACAGGCACTGGGGAAGTTAGCTGGTGCAGATGTACTGTAGCAAAAGGACATGTCTGCTGGCTTTAAAACCCTAGGGAGAAAAACAAACAGTTCATGATTGTGGTCACTTTCTTAGACTTTCTTTTCGAAGGACGTAAATGAAACTGGGGTGGTCAATCTGGGTTTACATCGAAAAAAACCTCTCAATCAGAGGCTCCTCCCATGTCACCCATGGGACCCGCTTGGGCACCATCAACAGGAGGGCCCAGAAATGAAGGTGTGAGGTGGAGGTCAGAGATGTTCCCTGGGAGGTGAAACATTCATTTTGCTGCACAGGGCTGAGTGTTAAAAAGAGCATTAAAAAGCCATCTAAACCATCCCACTTACTCGGCAATCCACATCTTATTGGAGAAGGGCTCCGGCTTCGAGATATCTGGAAAATACAAAGGAGTAATGTGAATGACACAGTAGATGGATCTCAAAGAATGACTCCCTTTGACGTTTTTATTCCTAAAACCAGCTAAATGGTAGTTGTTCTGAGGCACTTTACAACTATGATGCCAACCCTGAGGTTGAGCAATGCGATTCCTCCTATACGTCCTAAAGTAAATGGGCAATCAATTTGGTTTAAATCATGTCATTCATTAAAATCTGGGCTCAGTGGCTTAAGTTTGTTTGCTTGTTTGTTTTGATAGTTGCTGAAGACTTTGAGATCGGATGTTCAGTGGCCATACTGAATTCAATGCTTTCCAGAAAATAATTAGTAGTAGTAGTACAATTAACCAATTAAAGCTAAAATGATCAAATACTCTCTATCAGAATCTTATATGAATGATGTCATGTGTCCAAAACCCTGTCCTACGAAGGAGTGTCCCTGGGGAGCCAGAAAAGAATCATTTTCCAAATCTCACCTTTGCTTTCACTAAGCAAAAGCCACCATCTATACCTACAAACCTGTTATGTTTCAGAAATAACTGACTACAAGCAACATTCTTGCTCTGAGCCTTCAAAAACTTTAGATAAATAGACACTAACAAAGATGAAAGCTGTTCTGGATGCATCAAGACCTCAAATAAGCCAAAAAAACAGACTAAAAATATTTGTATTTTATTTTGCCCGTGTACCCAATCACTGTAAGGAGAGCACGGTGGAAAGGGACAGAGAGTGGGCAGCGGTTTCACCGTCAATAATATATTTTAGGGGCGCCTGGCTGGCTCAGTCAGTAGAGCATGCAACCCTCGATCTCAGGTTCATGAGTTCAAGCTCCACACTGGGTGTGGAGCCTACTTAAAAAAAAAAAAGAAAAAGAAAAAAAGAATGTATTTTATTCCCTCTAATGTTTGAATTTTTTGGTTCTCCTTGGGCACAAAGCAGGAAAGAGAAAGAAGGGGTGTGAAACATGCATAAGGGCTTTATTAGAGGGACATTGCCCACCAATAAGCCTTCCAGTGAGAGTCCAGAGGAAAAATTTGCCTTGTCTGTGAGCACTATAGGTGTCTAATATTGCTCTTTGATAAGCCATGTCCTCTTAGAATAAGGAGATTGTGACTTTTCCAGGATAAAATTCTCAAGATTTCTTTTTTATTTTTCAGTCCACTAAATGCACTATCCTTTTACTTTTACCCACTGTAAATGCTTATTCATGAATATGGATAAGTAAGTTATATTAAACTCTCTAAGAGCAAAAGATCTGTGTCAGATTTATGTTTTCCATTCTAGGGCTATTTCCTTTTTCTGGATATTCCTCCTTAATTTCCCAGCTCATTGAAATTCCATCCATTCTAAAAAGCCAAATCAAGTACCAACTCGCCCATGAACCCCTTCCTCACTACCAAGTCCAGAAAAAGTGCCTACCTCCTTTCATGGCTCTAGTCCTTCATGCCTCTTGTATGGACGGTGGCATATACCATACTCAGTTACTTTGTTTAAATCATATTGATCTTCCTGTACTGAAACCCATTCAGGGAAGAAACCGTGTTTTCATCATATTTGTGTCCCCCTCTCCTCTGCAAATTGAGCATCCATCAGCAAAGGAAGGAATATTTGGTAAAGAGCATGCTGAAGTAATAGATGCTCACTAAACTCAGAAAAGTAGACCTTATTAGCGGGGCGGGCAGTTGTTTTTTATTTTGTTTTACAGAGGGAGTTTTAGAAGTTTATAGCTAGAGTTGCATTACTGGAGATAATTTCAGAAAAGTGGAGCCCTAGCTGTTGTTCTCCTCCACCACTCTCCCTAAAACAAGATTGAGCAAATATTTCAAGAATTTTTATTCAAAGGAACAGCAAATTGTTAGCCTATCTGGTGTCCAGATGTCTTGGACCAGTCCTGTATTCAAAAGGCATGGACTAAATATTATTTGTTGAATAAATCAACAGTGGTGACTCTTAATAATGTTTTTGGTTTTCAGAAATGTTTTTGCTGTTATTTTTTTTTTTTGACAGAGGTACTAGTCCTCCCAAGAACTAATACACAAGGAGACCAGTGTTATTCTTCCTACTTTGAAGCATGGAGGAAAAATTAATACCTGCAATGCCCTTTATACAGTATTGAAATCCAGACCATTTGAGCAATTTCTCTAAACTCATGCAATACGTTGAAGAGTAACCAAGGACCTGTGTTTAGGTCACTCCCATTCTCTGTTCGGAAGACTATATCTATTGCCCATTTTCATTCTAAAACAAAAATGAAACTATGAAATATGTCAAGTCTATTGTTCTTCAAAGTAATTAAGAAAAACAACCTCTACTTTTTTCTAGAACGACAAGTTCCTTAGCAAGGGAGCATAAAAATCAGTTTAGGGTTATTGCAACAGGTTCTCTTTCTACCTACAGACTTATAATCACCTCTTGTATAGGTGACTATTGGAGATAAGAGTGTCAACTAGAAGATGCTTTGTGTAAAAATTATTAGATATATACCGTGCTTAAACCAATACGGCTACGGGGACAGATGGGACTTAAACTCCTGCTTCGACATCGACTTACAGATCGCACTGAATTCCACTAAAAAAAGAGAGAGAAATAGCAGTTTGTGAAAGTTCACATGACTTAAAACAATATACATATCCTAAAGAATGAGAGGTTTTGCTGATATGATTACACTTGGCCCATTACTGGGCATTAATCAGCGTGAGACACACTTTTCACATCTTACAGCTGCCCAATATTTGACAATAACTTTAGGGTATTTCTCAGATAAAATCCCATGACAGTGAACATTGGAATATTCAAAATCTTGGTGCTGGAATTTTGTTTTGATGTGTAAATTGTTAGAAATTAAATTCCAGCTTGCAAGTGTCAGAAAATGTAAGCCCCATGTGGGCAGGGATTTGGGTCTCTTTTGTTCATTGCTGAATCCCCAGCACCTAAACACAGTGCTTGGGTCATAAAAATATTGTTGAATGAAATGAATTAATGAATGAGGGAGGGAGGGAGGGGGTCACCATTGTTGCCCATCTATTATCTAAATTAATGACTAAGAAAACGATATTCACTATAATGAGATTTTACTAGCAAAATCCTTCTTACAAATTTCCCTTCATTCAACTTTTTCCTTTATTCCAAGTACTTCCTTTTAGGATTTTCACATTTTGTTTTAGGAGTTTAAGCTGGGGTAAATGTTGGTGATATGCTTGAGGAGAAGAAGGAAGTTTAAATGCCTTATTTGATGTAGAATATACGAATAGTGGCCATTTCCTCTCCCTCCCTTCCGAATTGCACTACAGAGAGTCTACAATTAGAGTTTCTTAGCAAAAAGTGATAGTTGCAGGAGCAAGAAGCATGTTTTATGAGCTCATTCATCATAGAACATGTGTGGCTCTCAGATCAACCCAACCCAATTTCTGTAGGTTCAACTTTCATAGCACAAAATATTTTATTGAGATACTATTCACTCTAGTGGACTGTTTCAGCTGCAAAAACCCTTAAGTTCTTTTAAAATACTCTACTCCTGTTCTTCCTTATATTATGAAAAACTGCCATTGAAGCACTTTCCTATTCTCTTGTTCAAAGAGAACAGGAACTGAGCCCACCCAGATGGTGGCTTTGCGCTGGACTGAACAGCCTCCATTTAGAATTCACTTAATTCTTTCTAGGAGGGGCAGGATAAAAACTCCATTGTGTGAACTACACAGAATATCCAAGCCCCCGTGGCCACCCAACCCCCACCACCACACACATTAATAAACTTTCATAGTTACGACTCCATTTTGAAGGCTGCCCAATTATTTACCATGTCCAAAACATTCTACAACCAATGCATATAGGAAGCAGCCCTCCAAAACTGATAAGCTACTCTCTCCCCGCCTCTTCTGCCTTCTTTTTTTTCATCCCTTCCCCCTCCCTACGCATCATACCAAGGAGAGAAAAACAGTACATTCATCATTTCCAGCATGGATAATGGTCAGTAAAAATTTGGCCAACTGTTTCCCGAAAGTTAATTGATCCCTTCCCAATGCTTAGAATTATAGAGGGCCTTCAATAAGATGAGCTCAAAGAGCTTTGCCCATATGATAGCATAATTCTAAGATGGAGGAACCAAATATGGCTATTCCATCTTATAAATAAAGCAACAGACAAAGAAGTTACTGCCAGGAAATTATGAAGAATTGTGGAGGAATCAAAGAAAAGAATCTCTTGTTTCCCAGCCAGTCTGTTTCCCCTCCTTTGTATGAAGCCTTATCAAGCAACTCTTTAGACTTCCTCTATAGAATCTCTGGGTTTAGAAATGTTTTCGAACTTGTGAATCAAACACTTGGGATGAATTGTCACTATGCAAGGCCACCGTACAAAAGCCCCTCTCTTGGTGACAGCTTCTCCCTTCATAATGACACAGTCATTCTCCATGAGAGCAGGCCACACGTGATAGAGGACCAAAGGAGCAGTGAAATCAGAGTCATAGCTGCGACGGTACCTATTTTAAACACACAAAAGAACAAAAAAGAGAAGTTAAGCAAGGATGTAGTGTGACTGGAGGACATCACTGTAAATTCTCGTTTTCTATTATGCTCAGTCTAGATGAATATGGATCCTGATTCTGGTACTAAAGAGATGGTTGTGAGCTCTTAGAACGGGAATCAGTGATAACAAGGACCCAACATGGACTCACACAGAACAAGTTTTATCAGACTAAACTCATTCCTTCCCTTCTCAGAATTACAAGTTACAGGTCAGGGAAACACTAGAGATGGAGACCATCTGAAATCCTGGAGGCACCCTGAAAGATTTCTCATGCTATCTTTGTGGGCAAAATAAGAGAAATAGAGGTGGATGATTGACCTAAGTAGATGGATTAGAAACTGGTTCAATGATCATACCCAAAGTGAAATAATTAATGAGTCAATTAGACCTTGAATTCAGCTTTCTCTCAATCGTTCGATAAGTAACATGTTCATCAATGACCTGCATGAACTATAGATAAACCACTCAAAGGCTAGGGATGGGTAGGAAAAGAGAAATAAAGGACAGTATCAAAAAATAGCTCAACAAACAGGAACAATAAGCTGAATCTAATAAGACACAATGTAGTGCGGGTATGTATGAGGTTCTATAATTGAGTCCAAAAAGCATATAATTGCACAGATAGAGGCAATAAAAGGCTTAATCACAGTACAAGTAAGAATAATAGGTTTCAGTTGAACTCAGAATGATCAACAACAGTGTTATATAACCAAAAAACAAAAACAGAAAACACTAGTACAGATTAGCGGGATTAATAGAGAATAAGAACGGAAAGGGTATTAGTCTCTCTAAGGCGCTCCGTTCAAAGCAGGGGACTACATCTACTGCGGACACTTAAAAAGGATACTCAGAAGAGCATGGAACACAGACCAAAGAAACTGATCTATCAGGAAGTCTCAAATCCCCTTTATGTGGAAAAACCCAAAGCCATGAGGCCAGAAGTAGGAAGATTTGAATAATTGCTTCAAATATGTGAAAGGCTGTCGGGTTTTTTTGGTTTGGGTTTTTTGTGGGTTTGTTTGTTTGTTTGTTTGTTTGTTTGTTTGTTTGTTTTTTAAGGATTAAACTTGTTCTATGGGGCGCCTGGGTGGCTCAGTCGTTAAGCATCTGCCTTTGGCTCAGGTCATGATCCCAGGGTCCTGGGATCAAGCCCCGCATCAGGCTCCCTGCTCCACAGGAAGCCTGCTTCTCCCTCTCCCACTCCCCATGTTTGTGTTCCTGCTCTTGCTATCTCTCTCTGTCAAATAAATATATAAAGTCTTAAAAAAAAAAAAAACTTGTTCTATGAAGTCCTCGAAGTAGAACCAAATAGTCATTATTAGGAGCTCTAGTTTCGGCTCTACAGCCTTTCAGAGATACAGGCTACAGAGTGCACCAAGAGGCAACAACTTCCGTCTGATTAAAGGCATGGAAGCAGGAGGACCCCAGAGGTCTGTGAAGTGTGCAGATTCCATAAAGTAAATTAAGTGAACATTTCTGAGTGGTTCTATGCATTCTCCAAAGGAGAAAGGAATAAAGGAAGGGGGATGAAGAGACTATGTTCTGTAAGGAAATCAAAAAGCTCAATTGCAGTGTAATGTTCTAACTGCAGCTCTTCCATGAGTGGACACATGTTAGGAGCGATGATCTGAAAGAAACTAGAAACAGGACAACGGCAGGAAAATACGACAAGCTAGAAGGCAATTGGAAACACCATCACTGTGATTTGGATAAGCAAAAGAAATGTATGTAGCTTCTGTCATCAATAGCTTGTAGGGATATTGGGCCACCACCACCCCATAACTCTATAGACTGAACAGAGACCAAGAGCTAACATTTCCTGAGTGTGCAATGCATGCCAAGCAGTGTCCTTTAAAAAAAAAAAAAAGATTTTATTTATTTATTTGAGAGAGAGAGAGAGAAAGTGCACAAGCAGGGGGGAGGAGTAGAGGGAGAGGAAGAAGCAGACTCCCCGATGAGCAGGGAGCCTGATGTTGCGGCCCAATCCCAGGACCCCAAGATCTTGACCTGAGCTGAAGGCAGCCACTTAACCAACTGAGCCACCCAGGCGCCCCCATGCCAAGCAGCGTCCTAAGTACTTTATCTGAATGAGCTCGACTACCTTCTCCAGCCCTAGGAAATAGGTATTATTATTTCCCCCATATGACAGAGAGGGAACTAAGGAACAGAAAAATTAAGTAGCATACCCCAGATTATAGAGCTAATTGGTGGTAGAGCTGGGATTTGAACCTGAGCAGCTTGAAGCCAGATCCTCAAGCCTCAGAATGTTCTTAACCACTAGCTTGGCCTCCTCCCAATAATTTCCAGCTGTACCATAAGAGCCCATAAAATTTCAGTAAAATGTTTTAAATTAATTTAATTCCTGCTAATTTATATAGGAAACATGTACCATGTAAAAGTTGATAGAAATCTAATGGTCCTAGACAGTCTCAAATGCTAGTGTGCACAAGGAACACTTAAGTGTTTGTTAAATGGCAGATTCTTGAGCCCCACTCCAAACCTACTGCATAAAATATCAGGGGGTGTGATCCAGGAACCTGCCTCTTTAACAAGACTTGAGTAATTCTGACACAAGTGATGTCTCTATGCCATACTTTGAGAAACCCGGCCTAAATACTGCAGTAGAAACCAGTAAAAAGTAATACACATTTGTATGTATGTAGCACCTTTTTTTAGTGTTCCAGACAGGCTCCAGGTACTCATTATTTATCCCCAAGACCAATGCATTCAATGGAAATGATTACATCACCTCTGAATCACGTTTGACTGAGAAAGAAAACTACCCCAGGAGAGGGGTCGGCCCTGTGGCACAGAAAAGTATATGGCAGGGCCTGGAGGTCAGGTCATGTCTGTTGATTTCCCCACCCAGAGTTCTTTTCCCTAAATTGTTTCCAGGAAATAGAGAAAAGGTTATTTATAATTTAAAAAAAAAAATCCCTTAGCTTCTGCTCTAATGTCTCTTACTTGCAATCATTAAAAATTTCTCCATCCGCCCCAAATGCAATATCTAGGGGTGGGTCTAAAGCCTGCATGGCAAAGGCAATGCAACATATCTCCTGGATGAAGTCACTGAGGAGGCAAAAGTCAACTTCAGGAGGAAATGAAATCTTGGGATTGACATTCATGGCTCGCATCACATCCTGAAAAACAAAAAGATGGCATCACCTTGTTACCAAACTGTGACAAGAAGCTCTGACATCCAAAGGGGGTTATGTCAGGTGGGGGGCGGAGAAAGAGTACATGGGTAAAGATGTTGTAAACCAGGAAAACTGCACATGTGCTGGAGGAGAAAGACTCACTAATGAGGAAGGAGGAAAGATGATGCAGAGGACAGATGGCATACCAAAGGCCAAGAGAATCCCCCCCAAAAACTAAAGCAAATATCCTTAGTGGGTTTTATTTATTATTTCCTCAATTCTCTATTCTGGGCAATTATAGGAAGTGCCAACTCATTCATAGTGTAGAATAATAGCAATTACAACAGCTTGCCCTTATTGGGTGTTTGTTACACGTGCCAAGTCTTGTGCTAAGCAAATTACTTGCTTGTTTTTCCTCTCAAGAACTCTGCAGGGGTCATGGCCATTGTTGCTCCCATTTTAAGGCTGGAAAACTAAAGCACAAACAGGTGAAGTAAATGTGCAAGGTCTAGTAAGTGGCACAGCCAGGATGCAAATCTATACCTACCTTCCCCAAAGCCGTTGCTCTTAAGCACTATGGTATTCTATCTCCAATCTTAAGAACCCATCGAAAGAATAGAGCTATAAAGGTCAGACTATTTCCCCATAAAAATGTCTAAGAAACAGCCAATAATGACTGGTTCTACAAAGTCAACTGGATGCTGCTCTTTTCTGCTATTCCGTTACATAAAAGCAACCCTGAGCACTGGGTGGATTTCTGAGGTGTTAGTATTCCATGTAAAGTGCAGCAGTAGCACACCAGTCCCACTAAGAGACCCAACACTTACGTTAACACTGCTTTGGGAATCATATAGATCGAGATGACAAATGATATAATCCAAGACGGCATCCTCAAAGTTATTCGACCCCGCGAGAGATGGTGTCAACGATTTCCTCACGCGGATCTTGAAATGTCTGAATGCCATTTTAGCTACATGGAATGCCTCCTGCATGTAAAAATGCAGCAAATTTATTAGGTGGAGGAAGGGGAGTAAAGAAATCCAAAGCAAGGAATGAAGAAAGAATACCCACCAAAAATTCAACATCGTATGTGTCTTCTGATCACTAAACACAGTTGGTCGAAACTAATTTTAATCTGGGAGAAAATACATACCTCAGTTTTGAAAAAATACATAAACACATCTATGACTATGCACGTTCACTAATTTCAAGACAGTTGATCATTGTTCTGGGAATCCTGACTGCAAGAGGCAGCACAATGCAGAGGTTCAAGGAAACAGATCATCTGTGGTTACACAAACACTTAAAAAGTGCTGGTTAGGGGTGCCTGGGTGGCTCAGTTGGTTAAGCGTCAGACTCTTGATTTCGGCTCAGATCATGGTCTCAGGGTCATGGGATCGAGCCCCGTGTAGGGCTCTGTGCTTAGCAGAGTCTGCTTCTCTCCCTGTGCTCTTTCTCTTTCTCTCTCGGATAAATAAATAAATCTTTTTTTAAAAAGTGCTGGTTGATGCTATGATCCCACCACAATGTCATATTACTGGTCCAGAAATGAAATTATCAATCTGTGTTTATGTTATACAAAGACACATATCAAGTATCTGGCATGTTTCCTGGCATATATTAATTCAACAAATATTTATTAAATGCCTGTTATGTGGCAGGCACCGAGGAAACTCAGTTATGCATGAAAGGCATGGCTTCAGAACCTTAACCAACTTCTTGATGCAATGAATCATGGCTGGTAAACTTTTTTCTGCAAAAAGCCACAGAGTAAATGTTTTAGGCTTGCCTAAAATACAGACAGTCTCTTGTCATATTTTTTTTTACAATCATTTAAAAATGTAAAACCATTCTTATATTCTTAGCTCTCAGGTGGTATTTTCCTTAGAAATAAGGAAATAACAGACCAGGACAAGATACATCCTATACGTCATAGTTTGCTGAGTCCTGAAATAAATTAGTAATTCAGGATAATGTTCAGTAGACTCTGATAATTCTGGTCTCATACCAGTGTTTCCTTTTCTTTTTAAATATTAACTGTTCTCATTTCTCAAAATGGACCCTTAGTATCTCAGTACGGTATCCACAGAACAAATACCTTTGCTTTGAGAATTAAGGATTATATATGAGCACTTTTAATCTGTCATCCTCAAGTAGCTCACATACTAGCAGTTTTACTAACTACTCTAGGCTCAATAAACAGAAGAGTTAACACAAAACAGCCTTCTGGTTTTTTTTTTTTTTTGAGAAAGAAAGGAAATCAACTGGAAGACTGAGTGAAAATCAACATAGTATATATTCATTTGAGATAATCCTCTATTTATGGGTACTTCTTCAACAAATGCCTGATCAATATAAATATTGATATATAGGAATAGTTCTTGACTGCAAAAAATTAGCCATACCAAATATTTGTGAAGGAAAGAAGGAAGGAAGGAAGGAAAGAAGGAAGGAAGGAAGGAAGGAAATAAGGGAGAAAGGAAAGAAGGAAGGAGGGAAAGAAGGGAGGAGGGAAGGAAGGGAGGAAGGAAGGAAGGGAGGAAGGAAGGAAGGAAGGAAGGAAGGGAGGGAGGGAGGAAGGAAGGGGAAATCCCACCCTCCCTCTGTGACCTCAGGACCAACCAGTCCCCTAGGCTGTCTTGTTCGGCTGACGCACGTGCTGTCCCCCCGCGGGGCTCAGCCACACGAGTGTCACCTACCACTGTGGCGATGTAGATGATGCGCTGCACGGTCTCAGCTTTGTCGATGCAGCGCCGCAACAGGCACTGCGCATCCAGCCGGGCCTGGGAGTAGGCGTCGCTGAACCGGGACAGAAGGGCAGCCTTGCGCGCCACGTTGGACATTTTGGCACGATTCGGGGACGGGCTCCTGATCTTCACGACCGTGGTGGAGGGGCTGGTGGAGCGGCTGCGGCTGCGGCTGCGGCTGTGGCTGTGGCTGCGAGGGCCAGGGCTGGGAGTCCGGCTCCGGGCGGACCTGTTGGTTACCAACAGGTAAGCAAGAACCAGCCAGAGAAGCGCTCTGATTCACTTCTCTCTCATTCCCGGCCCCATTGACCCGCAAGTGATTGCCAGGAGCCGTGCGCCCTGCTGCACGCAGAGAAAGCAGCTGCCCCCCACCCCCCGCCCACCGCGGCCTCTCTGCCGGGCATCAAATACGCGGTCATTCGCTCTATATCTGCACAGGGAATTCGCACCTCGTTTTATCCTTTAAGCAGCCCTTCGAGCTCAACATCGATTGTTGGCCATTTTAAGGCCAAGGAACTAGAGGCTCAGAAAAGGAAAGTAACACTGCTGGCAAAAGCCAGAGGGAAAGAGATCAGCTTCTCAGTATTTCTTACCCCAGCCTTGGGGTACTCAGGTATCACAGAGGCTTTATGGTATAAAATGGGATGAACACTCAACCGTGAGAAAGAAGATCTGCGTTCTCGTTCTATAGCAGTGGGACCGTTCGCGCTCATTTCTCCCCTCCAGAGTCTGAGTTCTTACCTACAACATGCTCACCCTATATCTGGGTGGGAGGGAGGGTCTGAAAGATCCAGTGGGCTAATAGAGGTGGAAGTGCTTGGTGAATTGTAAAGCAGAGCATCAATGAACGGTATTGCCATCAAGTACAAAGTAAATTATCAAAGGAAATGGGCCCCCAAGGAGGGAAGTGTAGAAGATACTAGGAAGCAAACGGTTCTCCTACAAAGCCCGCTCTGAAGGTGGAGCGGAGCAAAAGCCCTCAACAGTAGTCTGACAATTTCCATGGTGCGAGAAACACCGCCGCCACGACCCATTTCGAGCTATGAATGTGACATCACACTGAACTTGGAATGAGGCAGATGTACACAGAATCAGTTCTAGGGAGCCAGTACAAGCTAGTACCAGCACAACATGGCAGAGTGACTCCCTGGAATGAAAGGCTGAGGTGGCCTTTGGGGGAATGGGGACCAGGGGTGGGAGTGGCTTTGATAGCTTGGATCCGGGCATGCTGTGGGCCTGAGGGAGGTGGTGGGTGTTAAAAAGAACAAGGAAGATGCTCCAAGAGAAACATCCCGCTCTGTCCTCACTTAACTCCGAATGGCCTGTCTTAACATTCTGTCCATCAGTAGAGAGGGATGTCACAAGAACACTCACCTACACACTTCATCAAACAAAATGAGCTACAGAAAGTAAAATGACAGGTAGTCATCCCAGAGAGGACACTGGCAGGCCTCAGAGAACAGGATCCTCCTATGATGGGACACTCTTCCCGCATGGGTACCATGCGTGTATGACAGGCCCACCCACATCGGCTTTCAAGCCAAAGAACTATCCTCTCATCTCACATATCTCTGTTTCATTCCTTGGGCTTCCATGTCAGCCCCAAGTTAATTAGTGCCCAAGCACTGACAATCCAGGAGCTATTTTCTCTCTCTGGAAGGGGGCAGTTAGAGAAAACAATCCCTCTACAATGCAAAGCTTCCCATATTGCGGGGGCTTGGGTGCAAGATAGTCATTGCATTTTTTTTTTCCAAGCCACATTTTTACCACTACCGAAAGGAACTTAAACGAAAAGATCTGTGAGAATGTGTCAGACCTTCCTTGAAGCACAGATTTTTCAGCAGACAAGACAGCTATCTCGTCCTTCAGCGTTCGGAGCTGTTTCTCATAATCAGAAACCACTTCGGTCCGCTGCTCTGCGCCCCGCTTGTCAATGCCCCACTGGTCCAACCGCCTCTGCTCAGAGGTCCTCGGCTCTGAGGTTCTAGGCTCCACACACCGATGCTCCACGCTTCTGTGTTCTACGTTTCGGTGGCGGGATTCCTCCTGGACTTGAAGAGATTTAAGCCTGAACAGAAAACAAAAATTAAGGAGGAAAGAAGAGAAGGAGGGAAGGATGGAGGGAAGGTAATAGCAACAACTGGCATACCTAACAACAGAGGCTACTGTACTTAGCAAAGCAATCACTACATTGGACAACTCTGATGGAAACGCATGAGGAACAAACACAAATCGGAAAAGAGCAGAATTACCAGGGTCAGAGTGCCACCCCATGTCTGCAGCTTGCATGAAAAAAGGCTCCTGAGAAAGGAGTATGTATGCAGATCCTCCGGCAAAAGCAGAGTGGGCCTATAGTCATCCTGTTCTATATTAGGCTGATCTTAACTGCACAGAACTCTGGAAGCATCAGACCTCCAAAGCCTAGGTCCAGAAGCTGGCCAAAGATACAATCTCCTATCTTCATTAGCTCTTTGATTCTCTGAACAGATGGAATGGGGACCGGGGGGGGGGGGGGCGCGGAGTATGACAATAGAGATGGAATAACATCCACAATACTAGGTGGAAGGGTGAATTTATACAAATAATGTATTCTAGAGACAAAGCTTCTGAAATAAACTTGGCATCCTTATAAAGATGCAGAGAGGCGTGACTACCTAAAACAGGAGCAAACCCACACAAAGAGAACGTGCTGTGATGAAAAGGACAATGATATAAGATGAAAAGGTAAGGGCTAAGATTAAGAAGGACACAGAGAAGCTAAAAATGCAATAGCAGAATTAAAAGCTGTACTGGAAACGGTAAAGAACAGAATTGCTGCTACAGGAAATCACTCAATTATAGGGTCAAAGAATCTGAGAAGGTCTATCAAGTAGGAAATAAGAGATGAAAATGATGGTGAGAACTCTTCCTTCCCCTAAGCGGCCTGAGGTGACCTCTGAAAATGGCCCGCTATTCGCTTGACCCAGAAAACCCTACAAAATCATGCAAATCAGGAGGTTCAAATCTTCGTGTTCACTTTAAGAACACACGTGAAACTGCCCAGGCCATCAAGGGTATGCAGATCCCAAAAGCCACCAAGTATCTGAAGGACATCACTTTGCAGAAGCCATGTGTGCTATTCGGTCGCTACACTGGTGGAGCTGATAGGTGTGCCCGGGGCCAAACAGGAGGGCTGCACACAGGGTCGGTGGCCTCGGAAGAGTGCTGAGTTTTTACTGCATGTGCTTAAAAATGCAGAGAGTCATGCTGAACTTAAGGGTTTTGATGTCGATTCTCTGGTCATTGAGCACATCCAGGTGGACAAAGCCCTCGAGATGCAGCAAAGAATTTACAAGGCTCGTAGTTGGATTAACCCCTACATGAGCTCTCCCTGCCACATGGAGATGGTCCTTACTGAAAAAGAGCAGACTGTCCCTAAACCAGAAAAGGAGGTTGCACAGAAGAAAAAGATACCCCAGAAGAAACTGAAGAAATAAAAACTTATGACCCAGAAGTAAATTCTGCATAGAATAAATGCAAATAAAAATAAAAAGAGAGAGAGAGAGAAAAGAAAATGATGGTGAGGGAGAGAGAGAAGTGGAAAACAGAGCAGTGCTCCCAGCTACAATGGTGAGGGTGTTCCCAAAGAAATCAGAACAATGGAACATGGGTGAAGGCAGCAAAAAGGTATTTGTGTGTGTGTGCGTGTGTGTCTGTGTGCGTGCATGCATGTGTTTTAATACAACCCCCACTTGCTTTTTGGGGGAAAAATCAAAATTAAGATCAACGAAGGTATACCCCCTTACCCCTGTCAGAATAGCTAGAACGAAAAAGACAAGAAGTTGTTAATAACAAGTGTTGGTGAGGATGTGGAAAAGGGAGCCCTCGTGCACTGTTGGTGGGAAGGCAAGCTGGTGCAGCCACTCTGGAAAACAGTATGGAGTTTCCTCAAAAAGTTAAATATTGAAATCTAATAATTCCACTACTGGATATTTACCCAAAGAAAACAAGAATACAATTTGAAAAGACATATGCACCTCTATATTTATTGCAACATTATTTACAGTAGCCAAGATATGGAAGCAACCCATGTCCACTGAGAGAAGAATGGATAAGGAAAGGATGTGATATATGTATATGTGATATGATGTGATATGATATATATATTTATATATGTATACACACACAATATATATATACATATACATACAATGGAATATTACTCAGCCATAAAAAAGAACTAGATCTTGCCATCTGTGACAACATGGATGGACCTAGGGTGTATTATTCTAAGTGAAATAAGTCAGAAAGAGATAAACAAATACCACAAGATTTCACTTATATGTGAAATTTAAAAAAAAATGAATCAACAAACAAAAAGTAGAAACAGACCCATAAATACAGAGTAAAAACTGGTGGTTGTCAGAAGGGAGAATATTGGGGGATGAGCAAAGGGGGTGAAGGGGAGTGGCAGGTATAGGCTTCCGCATATGGAAGAAATAAGTCACAGGAATAAAAGGCACAGCATAGGGAATATAGTCACTGAAACCGTAATGGCATTGTAAGGTGACAGATGGGAGCTGCACTTGTGAACGTAGCATAAGGTACAGAGTTGCTGAATCACTATGTTGTACATCTGAAACTAATAGAACACTGTGTGTCAACTACACTTTGATTTTAACAATTCAAGAAAGATATAACCTTAAAGTATGCGTTTATGCTCTCCTTCTAGAAACTGATATTTAGAGAATAATCTGAAATTTAAACTAACATTTGCTGCAATCATTATCACAATGTTGTTTCCAATGTTTAAAATCAGTATCAAAGTAAATGTTCAATATTAGGGAAATATCTAAATAATGGAACATGATGCCTCTATTTAAAACTAAGTCTTGCAGTATTTTTTCTTAGTAATAGAGAAAAACAATGTTAAGTGAAAAGATGGGGTCCAAAATTGTATACTTATGCTGATTTTGTAGTAATAACTCTATTTTTTTAATGTATCAATTGGAAGACATAGCAAAATGGTAACAATAACTGGCTCTGGAATTTTTTTTTATTTTATTATGTTATGTTAGTCACCATACAATATATCATTAGTTTTTGATGTGGTGATCCACGATCCATTGTTTTTGGCTCTGGAATTTTGAGAGGGTTTTTCGGTTCCTCATACTCTGTTGTACTTTGAAATTTTTCTATAGTAGGTAGTTAGCATTTTTGTAGTAAGAAAAAAATTATACAAAACATTAATAAAAATATTGCTGCCTTTCCTCTTTGTGAACAGCTTCTTTCATATTGTAATGGAGTACCAAAAAGCTAAATTCAAAGATCAATCAGCAGACTGCAATAATCCTGTCTTTTTTTTTTTTTTTTTTTTTTTTTTTGCTTACTGCTTTCTTAGCTGATTTATTTCCTCCTCTGCAGCCAAAAGGGATATGGCCGATCTGTTCTTGGTTTCTTCAAGAGTCTTTTCAGTTTCAGCCAGACTGTAAGAGAAATCAGTAACTAAAGACAGATTTTCCAAAATTGGCAGAATTTCCAAATCAAGGCATAGGTTCTCCCAGGAACTTTTGGCATATATAGAAGTTCAACAAAAACAAGATCAAATTATGAGACATCTGCATCCAATCAGATGCTATTGCAAATATTATGGTGCGCTTGTATGCAAAAGCATGCTACCATTCTTTCTCAATGTCAAACGTGAAGACATTATAGAGTGGCTACCACTAAAGAGCTATGTAATAATTATTAACATTAGAATGTAAAGGGCAAAGAAACTTGTTCACGTCCTCCTTCTCACCCTCCTAATTCATCTGCTCAGCACACCAAATCTTCAGGCTGCCTCTCCCTATAAAATCTCCATTTTCTGCAATATCCCAATACCCTTTTCTGCAGTATTCTCATTACTTTGCACCGTAGAGTTGCATTTGACCTAATTTTCCCAGACTTCCTAAATATAAAGAAAAAATTATTTGCCCACCTACAAAGTCTTCCACAATCACATCTGACTACCAAGTATTTCATGCCTATGACTTCCACCACTTATTGAGCATGATTTTCCTGAGTTTTCAACATAGCTAGGTCATTGTGAGTTTCAAGGACTCTCTTCATTATAGGCAAATCATAACAAATCATATTATTTCTTTAGGTCTATCTAAAATTTAAAAAGAAATGAATATGGATGGATGACATTGGATGGAGACCTGTGGTTCTCAATTAAGTCGACCTAGTCCAGCAAGAGATCATAGGTTGGCAAAGCTTTCTTGACTTCTTGGACCCTACCTCCTGGTACTATCCAGGCTCTCATCTGAGGCTGAGAGGGTGCAGTTGCTATCTAAACTCACACCTGTCTTCTTCCTTCCTTTTAGATGGAAGAATGGAAGGTCAAACACTGGGGTCCTCCCCTAGACAGTGAAGCAGATAGAGAAATGATAGGCTAGCAGGATTCCTACTAAGTCCCCACAGATCCCAGCCAATCAGGCAATGCAAGAGGTGGTGTGATTACCCAGTGTTCCTTCCAACCCCTTCTCCTCCTCCTCCCCTAACAAGTGCCCCCGCAACCTGTGAGTGCTCATGCAAATGTCACCCCTGACTCTCTCAAGCCAAGTGTGTCTCCCCTTCTCCGGAGCACCTCCAACACTTGGTTCACACTAACAGTCTCATTATAAATACCCTGTGAGCTACTTAAGGGCAAGAATTATTTCTTTATCTTTTTATCCCCAACACCTAAAATAGTGCCTGTAACACAGTGGAGATTTTTTTAGCTGAAAAATGAATGGACACAATGTCTAAAGTCTTTTAAGAAATGCCAAAGTAGCAATAACTTCATAATAGGGCTACTGGCAATTAAGAGGAAGTTGCTGTGATTTAATTCAGAGGTGACTATGTTACAGGATTTTTAAAGTGTACGTGGAGAAAAAAATGAACATTTTTGTCAGGAGAAAACCGTAGAAAATTAAAAGAAGGAAATAGGCCAAGAAAGGAAGGAGAGTATGAACAGGAATAAAGTAGTTATGTTTTTCTCTTAAGACATGGCACACCTGTGTGAACACATGTACATACAACCAAACGTACATGCTAATTTGGCACCCTTGAATGATAGAGAGAAGAAAGGGAGGTACATTCATGTGCCAAGCATTATTTTAAGCAAGTTAATGTATTTTACTTATTTTTTATTAGGGATTTACTCATTCATTGAGGATATACCATGTGGCAGGCATGATGTTGGGTGCTGGGGATACAACAGTGTCAGAATGACAGATACAAGACAGTAACCCTTTGGGGCTTCTAGTCCAGTGGATCAGAAACTTGCGAACCAATATTTTAAAGTTCCAAATTGTGGTAAGGGCTATTCTCAGATCACTGTGAAAGAGAACTACAGAGTGGGGGAAGGAAAGACCTTTCGATGTACATGGTCACAGAAAGACTCTGAGAAAGTCACCTTTCAGCTGAGACCTGAAAGATAATAAAGAACCAGCCATGCAAAGACCCAGAGAGAGACTGCCATGTTTCTGAGAGAGCACAGGCAAAGGCTGCAAGGTGAGGAAGGGGACCACAGACGAGTTGAGGAGAGCCTGGCATGAGGTGGGGGTGGAGAGAGAGGCAGGGCCAGATCACACAGGGCTACGAGAGTCCTGGTAAGGAGTTTAGAACTTTTTCCTAAGTGTAAAAGGAGGCTACTAACAGCTTTTAAGCCAGGGTCTGACTTTATAAATTTCTATGTGTGAAATGGATTATAGTAGAGCAAGAATGAAAGCAGGGTAGCCGGCTGGAAGGCAACTGGTTGAGGCAACAGGAATCAGGGCCTTGAACTGAGCGATGGTGGTAGAATAGTAAGAAAGGGACAAGGGTGGGAGATGTTTAGAAGGTAGATTCAACCAGATGTGCCAATAGATTGGAGGTAGGAAATGAAGACACAGAGACTCATAACCAGATCCCGAGTATAAAATCTAGACATCTTCCTTTTCGAGGATTCGTCAAACTTGGGCAGACCTGTCCCCGTTCAGCACTGTATTAGAATTTGCCCATTTGTAACTGAGTCAAAACCAATCTGGTCCCCACAAGGTTAGACATGGGGAATCTCCTTGGTGGGCCACTCATTCCATAGCAGGTAGCAGGTAGAGTAAGAGAGAAAGGAGAGACCTAGCTACCATAGAATGCGAGGGACAGACAGCATCATTTCTGACGCCTTAAAAGAATAACCACAGGTGGGTTAAAAACCAAACAAAACTAGGAAATCCAAGGTAAAGGAGCAAACACCTTCATCTGTGCCACTTTCAAATGAGATGCACAGGGTTTGGTGGGGGGAGGGGAGGAGATATATAGATATATAGATATATAGATATATATAGTATACACACAAATGATAAAGCAAATAGTGTGAAAGGTACATGACAGTGTATATGGGTGTTCTTAGTACTATTCTGACAGATTTTCTGCATGGGAAATTATTTCCAAATAATTTTCTTTACAAAAATATGCAGTCATAGTTCCTTGACCCCTGATGCTCCTGATGGGTATTTACAGAGCCATAATGATGAGAGAGGGAGGTAGGAAGGAATTCCTGGCTCCTCTTGGTGCTGATAGAAGTCAAGAACCAGCAAAGTCTTGAAGCCCTGCCTCACAGTTAGTGGCAAATGGAAGGGCCTGGCTAGCCACAGTTGCCAGCAAATGCTCCAGAAGATTTAACCAGACAAGCCACAGATCAGCACCCCTTGGCACAAGACTCTACTGCCCAACTGGAAATGAGGCAGCAAGAACCCATACAGCAGCACAAGACCCAAAGTCTCTCCTCTCCAGCTTGAGTCATCCCTCATAAGCACGCAAGCATCCCTCTACTTCTAGATGGCCAGTCTAAGGAAGGGGGAGGACCGAGGAGACCCCTGGAGAGGGGGGAAAAAGCCCCTAGCAGAAGTTTGAACTTGAAACTAACTGAATATCTACAGGAAAAGGACTATATAGTAAACCAGAAAAGAAGTGGTAAGTTTAATCATCCTCACCTCACTCCAAATCAGCTGATATTAGTTGAAATAAGTTGCAAAAATTCAGAGGAATTGTGCTTTTTTGCTCATTACATTTGTAAATGTTGACTGTTGCAGCCACAAAACTGTTCATTGACAATGATTCCAATTGGAAATGAATGGGGGGTGTGGAGGTAACTGTGTGTGTGTGTGTGTGTGTGTGTGTGTGCGCACGCGCACACACACACACATACACACACATGCAAACACACACAAAGAAAAATGTCTGGAGCAAAATAAACCAAAATGTTAACGGGGATGAGATAAACAGGTGATTTTCACCTTTACACTTGTATTTGTTGTATGCATTTTGAATTAGCAATAATCGTGCCTCTGATAAACCTCCTTGGCTATGATACTGCCACTTTCGTATGTTGTATGCGTTTTGAGAAGGAAATTTTTATTGCTTTTATAATCAAGCAAAACTAAATCAGTAGAGATGCTTTCCTTAAAAGGAAATCTCATCAGAGAACAAGGCAGCATGCCACAGCTTATTTCATCACAAGCCCTAACTAAAGAGTTCCTTGCTGCCCCATACATGTCCGCAGTGGAGCAAGGCTCCAATTGAGAAACATCCGATTGATGGGTTTTGGCTAGGTGGGCTGAATGCAGTTTTGTACACATTTGTCTGTCTTCCTCAAGTGCAAATCCAAGGCTTGCAATTTTCTTTGCTGTGATTCCTTGAGCTCGCTACCTTGGCTTTGCTTCTGACACTTGTTGCTGCCTGGCATTGCTTAACTTCTTGAAAATACTTTTTATATCTACTAATTATTCCAAAATCTTGAAATGCTCATTCTTTGAAGAGTCTGACTTCTCAGCCAGGCATTATACCTTCTAAATGAGCACATCTGACAGACGGATGCAGCCTCTTCATCTTACTTTTGCTCTCTTTCCTTAATTTTACTCTTTGTCTGACTTCTTTAACCCTCCTCTTTTTGCATCTTATTTTTCTTTCAAAAGATAGATTATCATATAACAATCTTCCCCTGTTTACATATATAGGCTCATAACAGGCCTCTGGAGAAGAAGGAGCTCCAGGGATGGAGCCAAGGGGAGCAGGGTCTTAGGTAGCCTATTATAATATAGAAATCTTACCCCCAGATTCAAAGACACTGGCTCCTTACTCTCTGGACTCTCTCTCTCTCAGTCTCTCTCTCTCTCTCTCATACACACACACACACACACACACACACACACACACACAGTTATTTGCAGATGTCTGTATTTTACATCAGCCATTGTTCTCCTTTCAAACTTAAAAATTAAGAACAAACAATTCTTTTTGGAAAAAGATAACTTGCATTCCTCTTACTCGTCTTGAACCTGGTTGAGTTGATTACGAGTCAAAGTCAACTCGGAGTCTAATTGTTGCATGTCCCGATCCCGAACAGCAGACTCTTTATGTCTCTCTTTATCAAATGTGTCCTGGAATGATACACGAATCAAAAATAGTCTTGAATACATGAAACAAGATGATGGGTTGCAACACATTATGCTGAGAAAAAGAAATCAGGCACAAAAGGACACAAATGCATAGTTCCATATATATGCAGTTCTAGGGCAAGCAAAATTAATCAGAATGATAAAAATCAGAAGAGTGGTTGCCTGGTTGGGGGGGGTAGGTGACTGGGAAATGGCACAAGGTAATGCTCTGGAGAGATGGAAATGTTTTATAACTTAATAGGGTGTGAGTTACACGGATATATGCATTTATTGACCTATGGATCTCACTGCAGGTAAATTATAGCTCAATTTTTTATTATACATCAATTTTTTAAAAAGCCATTGAAATATCATCCCATATCTTTATACTCAGAAGAACACCCACGGGGTAAAAATCTCAGCAGCATGTGAAAAATCCCCAGGGGAGAAAAATTTGCTTAAAACCAACTGATGTCTACGGAATACTTAGCCTATGTTAGTTGTTTCTGCATGTTTATCACATTTAATTCTCAAAATGGCCCAAGTGGGTCAGCAAAAGCATTGTTTCCTTTCCAGCAAGTGACACATGAAAGGTTAGTCAACAGACCCAGGACCATAAAAAAGAGACCAGAATTCTGCCCAGTGACCCCCAAGCAGGAACCCTTCCACACCTGCACCCCTAAGGCCACTAAGAAAAGACCACTCTACGTGCTTTAATTTTAGAAAAGAATTTATGGAAATCCATATAAACGTCCAAAACCAAGGTTACTAATGCTTAATGATGTTAATGCCTTAAGCAAGGTGTAGGTCCTCTTTCCAGTCTGGGCTTCAACTGTCTAAAACCTGACCCTAACCCACAGAAATCACCCCATAGCAACAGCAAATGACAAAACTCTTTGTCAGTCTCTGAGAACTAAGTTTTCAACTCATTTCATTTCACTCTTTCAGATTATGGTGCTTTCCCCCATCTAATGGTCTCTTCTGAGGCTCCATGTACCCTGTCTGTGTGACTAATCTGTCATTCCAAAGTTCCAATTTACTGCCGAGTGTGGGCAATGTCCCAGATGTAGAACATCACCAGTCCTTTCTTACAGCTGAGGAAGCAGAGGCTTGTTGATTTGTCTGAGGTCACACCACTGGGAAGTAGGCAAAGCTGAGGGTTGAACGCAGGTCTGTTTGAAGAGAAAGCTCAACACATTACGCCACTTACTACTGTAAACAGAAACTCACCTTTTGGACCTGTGTCCCCATTCCTTAAGTAGCGCTGAGTCCCTCACTAGGTAAAAGCCCTCTCTTATATATGTCTGAGTTCCCAGAGCCTGATCGGGGTGTTGAAAGTCAAGGGGGATCCTTTAGCATCCCTACCTGTAGAGAGGGGACCTTGCTGTCAACAGGTTTTCCCAGGGAAGCAGCAGTAAAGGAGGCCTCCAGCCAAGGCAGAAGGCGCGATTTGATTATTTCCACACCATCATAATGTCCACCTAAAAGAACCCACAAATCAGGTCAGGGAAAGAAATTCAGCGACACAGTGAGAGAGTACCAAGGACTGAAGCAAAAGAAGAGAGAGCCAGATGGGGAAACACGGGCCACTCTCACCTTCTTGGGCTGCCGTAGTGAGGATCTTAAAGAGCTGTCCTTGAACTTTGGAAATTTGTTCGATGAGCTCAAGGCAATGATTAAGATTTTGATCACATGTGTTCGTCTACAAAACCAAAACAGAAAGTCAGTGCAATTCCTTTCCTCAGGGACCCATTGCAGGTTGACAGGACCTGAATTTACCCAGGGGCCGCGGTGCTCTGGTATGCTCCCAGGCACAGAGAATGCCCTGTGTTCACCAAAACGTCGTTCCCGTTCCTCCTGGACGCACAGCTAGACCACTTTTCCCAGCTTCCCTAGCAGTCAGGCAGCCGTGTAACGGAGTTCCAGTGAATGGGACAGGAAGTGCTATGTGCCACTTGCAGGTATGACCCAGAAGAAAACCCCTTGAGTGATTCTCTTCTCCCCTTCCCCATCGGGCAGCCAGATGCAGAGGACCCAGCAGAGGGCCCAGCAGAGGGCATAAAGGATGGTGGAGCTACAAGATTTGAAATTTGAAAGGCTACTCATTGGACACTTGCAATGACTATCACATCATCAAGAAAGTGTGTGTGTGTGTGTGTGTGTGTGTGTGCGCGCGCGCGTGTGTGTGTGTGTGAAGCCACTGAGATCTGGGGGTTATTTTAATAGCAATACCCCTGACTTGCTACTCAATGGAACCCTGCAAAAACTCCTTTTATAAAGTGAATAGACCTTTTGTAATCCAATACAAACCACAGCTTCCTAATTTACCTGCTTTATTGGTTCGTGTCCTCCAAGTTCATTATGTACGTAAAGAACACTATTTGTTAACAGTAGGATGGTACTGGGGGGTTGAGGATCCCATGGTGAATAAGACAAAAGACATGGCCCCAGCCTTATAGCACATGCAGACTGGTAAGGGAGAGAAGGGTGGAGACAGTCCCACGCGGTGAAATCTGTGCGCACGAGGTCTACTCCAGAGCCCGTGGCCTTGGGAAGACTTCCGAGAGGAAGTGAAGTCTAGGCAAGGAGAAAGCAGGCAGATTTGGGGGGATGGGAAGTTCCAGGGGTTGCAAAACATCCACAGAACACGAAGAAAGCCAAGAGGTGGGCCTTTAGCTATTATTCTGCTTTTTTGCACCTCCTTGATGAGATTTTACCATTTCCACACCAGCCAAACCTCTAATGAAGTCTGCCACTAAAGGAAGGAACACAACCACAAGCAACAAACAAATCACGTGGGTGCACAGACTGATGTGTCCTCTCAAGTGGTGAATCCCAGGCAGGAAGCAGGGGGTGAGGAGGATAGAAAGGAGAACAAAGAGGAAGAGTGAGTTCCAGGCGAAAGGCTACAGGGGCAAATGCTTGGGGGGGGGCGGGGGGATTCAGGCAGGAAGCAAGCTCCCTGTGGACGGAGGCTATGCCAGCCTGGTCGCTGTCGCACTCCCAGACTGTGTTCTGTAGTCTCTGTAGTCAGATCCAGTGAGTACTGGACAGACGTCGATGAGAAGATCCACGCACTTTATGTTTATCACATACCTTCTATGCGCCAGGCACTACTGATGCTGTACATATATAAGCTCAGGGAAGCCCCACAGCAGTGCCCTGGGAGGTGGGGGCGTCATTGTTAACACCCCCATTTTCAGAGGACAAAACTGAGAGGCCGAGAGGTTAAATAACTTGTCCAAGCTTACCTAGCCGGTAAAATGACAGAACTGAGATTGGACCCCATGCTCTTAAGATCATGGTTAGAGCTGGGAGCAGAGGGAGGACGGGATGATGGGAGAGGAGTGAATGGGGAGGGCCGTGTGGAAAGGCACCCCCTGAAGGGGAGACACTGAGCAAAGTATTCGAGAGAGACCGTGATGCACAGTGGGAACAGTAGGGGCAAAGGCCCTGTGGCAGGGGAAGCGAGTTTAGTCACCTTGAGAACCATAAGTAAGCGTATGTGGCAGAAGCACAGAAGGTGAGAGAGGTTGGCAGAACAGATCCTGGAGGGCCTTGCAGGCCCGGGGAGGAGTTTGGATGGGGTGGATTCGTGGTGCCCTTGGTGGAGCTTCTGGCTTACATCCACACCTGGTGGACAACACCTGGCGACAAGCTCTGTTATGGCACCTATGTCTCATACAGCCATTTGTTTCTGGGTCTCATCCTTCTAGCCCCTTCCCCTAAAAAGACCAGGACCTCTTTTTAAAAGTTCCTTTATCTTTCCTATGTTTATATCAGTTGCCACTGGTATACATAACAAATTGAAAGGCCCACAAATATTTGACAAATGAATGAATGAATGAATAACTTAATAGTGTAATATTGACATCATCAGAACATTTGGAATCCCCATCTGAGCAGCTGTGCCCATCCCTCCTCTGTTGAAGCAGCAGCTCCTGGGCCTTGCTCTCCCCCCCGGCACTTACCATGGTGAACCTGTTACTCAAGAACAGCTTTGCCCTCTGGCTAGACCATGCCATAGGCTAAGTGGACAGGGAATGGGGCCTGAGGGTCTAGCAGACCTGAGTGATTATCTCTGCTCTACCACTTGCCACCCTTCTCTGCAATCCTACGCAGATTGCTTAACCTTTCTGAGCCCATTTCCTCTCCAGGAAAATGGGGATCATGCCTTGCAGAGTGTTAGAGGAGAATTAAATCCAAGAATGCATATCTAGCACCTCAGAGACAGAAGGCATTCAACAATTGGTACCTATGAGGTATTGTGTGTTATTGAAAGGAGCAATGGGTATAGGAATAAAGGCAGACCTTGGTTCAAATATGGTTTCCTACTTGGTTGCTATATTCTCTTAGAAAAGATATTTTAAATATGAGCCTCTGTTTACTCATATTCAGGAGGTGGCTGATCTCATGAGCCAACTTAGGTACAGAATAGAGGAGGGACAGAATAATTAGAAGCATTATTGTAGTATTATTACCATTTGCTTCTATGCCTTGCCCAGAGTCTGGTACAAAGGAGGTACCCAAAGGAATGTTTGCTAAGTGGGTTTGTACACACAACTTAAACAACAGAAGACAATACACAGTGTAAGACAGTTCCTGTTCCCAAGACCTGTTACAACATGCTGCAACTTCTAACACAAAGCATCACACAAGATGCTCAAGTTGCAATAGAGTCATGTTCTTCTACCAAACAGTCACTCACACAAAATAAATAGAGCAAAGATATGACCTAATTATACTGTCTCCTAATTCCACAGTTCCTTCATTCATAAATCATTGAGTTCCTACTATTTGTAAGGCCTTGGGCTGGTAGCTCAGGAAATAAAACTACATTGAAAAAATTAGTGGTGCCTGGATGGCTCAGTTGGTTAAGTGGCTGCCTTTGGCTCACATCATGATCTTAGGTCCTGGGATCCAGCACTGCATCACATCGGGCTCCCTGCTCAGCAGGGAGTCTACTTCTCCCTCTCCCTCTGTATACTCTCTCTCTCTCTCTCTTCCTCTCAAGTAAATAAATAAAGTCTTTTTAAAAAAAGAAAGAAAGAAAAAATTAAAAGTCGCCTACTGTCAATGAGCTCATCAGCTGGGGAAGTGGGTTGGAAAATGGGAGACACACAGAGGATTAATAGTTACCTTAGAGTTTATTAAGTGCTCTCAGTGGGTAGTGAGCTGAGGAAGGAGCAAAGCAGTGAGCAGTGAGGGGTAAGAAATAAGGTATTTCAAGAGAAGGAACAGCAGGTACCAAGGCAAGGAGCAGCAAGGCGTACCATAGGGGCAAGTGGAATACAGGGTCCAGGGACCAAATAATGATAAACTTTATTTGCCACACGAAGGGTTCTGAGCCTTATCCCATCACTGAAAGATTTAAGGGGGCGGGTAGATGAGAGTGGTGATGTGATCCGATTTACTTTGTGTTTTATGAAAATCACTCTGGCAGAAGCCAACCACATAGGGTTCAGATAAGAGAGGGAGCCTGGTGGGAAGAGGGGTGGTTGTAACCATCTGGCTGAGAGATGCTGAAGGCTGTGGAGATGCCAAGGGTCCCCTGAAGTCCCTTTGTAGCCCTAAATCACATCTGTGTCAGCCACTGCTTCTAGCATTACCTGAGGAGGATGCCCGAAGGTTTGGAAACAGAAAAGAGGTGTCAGAGGGATGGTGCTGTTTTCAGACAATGTAGGGGATCCACAGGACCTTCAGATAGAGCTGTCTAGTAATAGTACCTAACAATTACCGAGCACTTAACTTTGTACCAGCCAAACCCTGTGCTGAGAGCTTTAAATACAGTTTCATTTAATCCTCAGAATAACCCTACCAACTGGATTACCATCCGTCATCCCTAATTCACCAATGAGGAAAACCAAGACCTTAAGCAATTTGGGGAAAAGGTGGTTGATCCGGAAACTAAGCCTGTTCCTGCAGCCTTTGACATGAGCCAGGCTCTCAACCATGGCCCTATCCCAAGAGCAGAAGGAGAAGACTCTGGATCTCAGCAGAGAGGTGGGGGCTGGGGGCGTGGCTCTGCAAGCCTTCAGCTGATGGAGAGTGCCCCAGCCATATGCATAGACAAGACCCCCAAGGGTGGGAGAAGTCAAAGGGCAGGGCAGAGGGCAGTTCTGCTATTTCAGAAGTGGGCAGAGGAAGAAGGGCCAGTAAATGAAAACAAAACAAGAGCAGTGAGAAATAAGAACACAGCCAGGAAGGAAGGTAAATGGAAGGAAGGCTTCCAGCAGGAAGCCAGAGAAGGAGATGGTTTATGCTCTGCTTCACTTATGCCTTTAGGCTGTCAACACATTTTTATGGAGGAGGCTACTGTGTGCTGCATGCTAGGGGTACCATGATGGGTAAGATATAGCCTCTTGCCCTCAAGGAATTTATAGTCTAAGATAAACATGCACATAAATGCAAAACCAGAACTACTTGCTATAAGAAAAGTAGGTCTAGATCTCCCAGGTGAGGCTCAAAGGAGGAAGTGGTGAGGAGCCAAGATTTAGGAAGGCTTTCACCTGAGGAGCTCTGTGGGCTCCCATTCCTATTTTCTAATTGCTCTAGTGTGGGGCCTGAGCACTGAAAATTTTTTTTAAGTTTTCTAAATGATTCTTATGTGCAACCAAAACTGAGAACCACAGCATTCGTGGGAAGTGAGATCAATTTAATGAATCTCAACCGGTACCCCCCCTTAAAAAATTTAATGAAAGA